CTCCCCCCCCCCCCCCACCCTAAGATAACGCGGCGAGGTATAGTATAGCTTATTCTTTATATAAGACTAATATATTGTCTATTGAATAAGCCAGATCTACATATTATCACATGGAATAATCTTGTTTTTCTTATCATGTCTTCCTATATTTTCCAATCCAGGCTGGTAACGGTTACAAATGAAAGATTCACGGCGTTCGAGGGTCTATTTAAACCTGAACTGTGGGGCAAGGATAATCCAAGTATACCTGACATGGTTTATAATGCTGTGATGGCTTGTAGTATAGACAATAGGAAAGAAATGTGCAGGTGAGCCGTAGTAAAATATTCTGCTATAATAACACGAAAAATTTAACTAAGCTTTTTTGTGTGTAGTTAGTTCGCGTATTTGTGTTCAAAATTACTTTGTTTTAGCTTTATTTTAGCTTTATTTTGTAGTTTACAAAATTCCCCTCTTAATCACTTTTTGCTTATTTAAATCAGAAATATTTTCCTGAGCGGAGCTACCACAAAAATTCCAGGTACTTTTAAAATCTTAATTTGCTGTTTTAAATTCGATTGTGACCATCCACGCAGCATACAATATACATATGTAAAAACGCACAAGTTGTAACAACCCTGCAGCAGACTTGTAGCAATGCTGTTCCAACAACTTGTCATCAGGATGTGTTCGTACTGCTTGTTCCCAACTTGTTGACAACTTGCTACAAGGTTGTTGAGCTCAACAGACTTGTCCCAACAACTTGTTATCGTCCTCCAATTCAACAATTTGTCAACAAGTTATGAGTGACAACCTTGTAGCAACTTGATAAAATAACAGTATTGTTACAACTTGTCGACAAGCTTGCTACGAGCCTGTTGCGAACACATCTTGTTGACAATTTGCGAGATTTTTACTTACGTAAAAACGCACAAGTTGTTAGAGGTCTGCAAACAAGTTATTACAAATCTGTTCACAAGTTGTCAACAAGTTGTGTTCGCACTGCTTGTTCCCAGTTGTTATAACAAGTTTGGAACAAGCTGTTAACAACTTGTAACAAGCTTGATGGCATTATTAGACTTATTACAAGGTTGTTCTAACAAGTCTGATATACAGTCATGATATAACAAGAAAGTTACAAGGTTGACGGCGACACAAGATGTAACAATATTGTTGTATCATGACTGTATCGGACTTGTTGGAACAACCTTGCAACAAGTCTGATAATATCAACAAGGTTGTTACAAGTTGTTAATAGCTTGTTCCAAACTTGTTGACAACTTGGGACAAGCAGTGCGAACACAACTTGTTGACGGCTTGTTGGCTGACTTGTTACAAGATGTGAGATTTTTCCGTGAGTAGTACTCTTACCTGGTACCCATTTGTTCTTCTAGGATTTGCGGATAGATTACAAACTGAACTTAGTGGAAAGTTTCCATCGTCTCTAGTTATTCAGGTTAGATACTCGATTCAAAATATGCGATATATAACAAAATATGTCACAGACGAAAACATTTTCTGCAACAAGTTCACGTATGGCAAGTTTACATACCCGTCTGCATATGGGCAGCTTTGCCAAGTTTTATTATGACAAGTACATTGGTTTAAAAGCTAGCGTGCTGTACAAATTTTGTTCGTTTGTGTGCGTCAGTAGTAATTCGAATACTTGGGTACGATTGATCAGCGAAAACCAAAAACGTGTCGAAAATTTGTTGTACAGTACGTATACACGTGCAATAAACCTTACCGTTTATTCACTTTTCACCCAATCGCCTCGTTTTCGTGTCAAATACTTACTCATGTTTTGTGCTTAGTAGGGTTGAAAATTACTTTGTTATTGAGCCTAGGAACAGCAAGAAACAAATTCGTCCAGGAAAACATTGGAATATAATCTTTATCTGCCCCTGACATGCTAAAATAAGTTAACATGGAAACGAGGCCATTGGGTAAGAGAATAATCGGTAAAGTCTAACTTGTCATAGAAAACTCTTTGTCTTTAACTCGCAAAAGAGTAGATCATTTTAAAGTGGACTGAAACAGAACTATTGGCAAGCGAGTTACCCAAAATTCGGAACCGGGTATAAACAAAAAAGACTATTAGCTAACACATTGTCGCGTTTCTGTCAGGTCCATGCAGCCCGAGATCGTCAGTTTGCAGCCTTCATTGGGGCAGCAGTTTTGGCGAGCTTGGAAAGCTTCGCTGACCTCTGTATCAGCCGCGATGACTGGGAAGAGACTGGACCCGAGCTGCTGAAGAAATGGGATGGTGTGTAATGTTGGTGGCTGATCTATATACATATCACTGTATTGGTATAGCTTGTTGGTTCAGGTAACCCAGTCAGCTTGTGCCACTTTTTGGTCAAATGTATTTTATGTAAATATTAGGGTATGTAGTATTCAGTGCATTCAGGACATTATTTAAATAGCTTGCCTCAGGTACCTAATATGCACAAAACAGGAGGATATACTAAGCAAGGAACATATTTGCGCACATGTATATATAGGTACACATCGCACTATCTTATTTGCTTTCATTTTATACGTAAAATCTGCACATATTTATTTTTTTACGAAATCTTAGGATAGTATTTTAAAAACTTGTATATTTATAAATGGTTTTTGAAATAATTAGTTTTTAAATAATTAACACATTTCAATAAACGAGAATTTTGTTATCTCCATATCATACTGGATAAGTCTTTATATTTCAACAAATTTCAGAGCAGTTCTCTCACAACTTTGTACCATCAATATTTTTTATTCAACTTTTACCTTCATTATATCCTTGAGAAATTTTCTTACATATGAGGTTTGCTAACTTTTAACAACAATATACTGTCATAAATATTAAATACAGTTCGTGTGCACGACACAAATATAATGCCATGTGACTTGATTTAGAAAATACATTAAAGTCAGAAAGGAACTCCAGAAAAGATGTTCCTCCGTTTATTCAAAGTATTCATCCAACATGTTAGTTCAACATCCTCCAACACAAAAATCTCACAATTTGTCAACAAGATGTGTTCGCAACCGGCTTGTAACAAGCTGTAACAATGCTATTATTTTATCAAGTTGCTACAAGGTTGTCATTTGTTTGTCGAATTGCAGGACGATAACAAGTTGTTGGAACAACTTGTAACAAGTCTGTTGAGCTCAACAAGCCTTTGACAACTTGTCAACAAGCTGGGAACAAGCAGCGCAAAGACATCCTGTTGACAAGTTGTTGGAACAGCATTGTTACAAGTCTGCTGCAGGTTTGTTACAACTTGTTATGTTGACCAATTTTGGGGTAGTGTGCTCAATATTCACACACAATAGGCAATTCCAGCTTTTAGTTTATGTGTGCAGGGGACGATGGGAAGTAAGATATCATATTGCTGATTATGCTGAAAAAATAGAAATGGTGGCCGTGTAAACACAGTGTGATAGCTTATACTTGTAAGTATTGATTTCGGTTGTTTTGGTAGTTTTTATTGAAATTTTTCAGCATAATCAGAAATATGATACCTTACTTCTCATCATCCCCTGCAGACATAAACTAAAAGCTGGAATTGCCTATTGCCAAAAGTTGGACAATGTTGGATGAACATTTTAATTACCCAATGTTAAAACTCAACAATGTTGCAAACAACAATGTTAGACAACCTGTTGGCAAATGTTGGCATCGTTTTGAACAGCCTTTATAACACTTTTAGTTGCATTGCACTCTATGTTTTTCCAATTTTCCCTTTACTGTTTACACACACTGTACTCACACAGGTGCAATATCAAATATTTTCCTCAACTGTTCAAAAATACAGAATGTAATCATAGTTTGTGGTCCAGCTCTTAACCAGCTGGGTAAGAATCCTTTATACAGGCCTGTTAGGCCTTCTGTCCTCAAGGTTTTACCCAGACACTCGAAAGCACTGCGATATAACGTTCCATTTTTGTCCACAACTTTTTGGTTCATAAGTCGTGTTTTTATAACATCCACGGGCGAGCTAACCAAGGCAACTGCCAGCCCGGCACCCATTGAGGACACCATGTGTAATCTTAGTCCTTCAGACATTAGACCGTAGTTTAGTAGACTGTGTTTAAGGTGGTCGTAGGATGGTATTTGCGTGCCCGTCACAATGGCAGCTCGTTTGACTGTTGCGCCAACACCTCGCCATAGTCCTCTAATTCCTTCTTTGGCTGCAATTGTTTTAAACGCTGAAAACGTACTGGGGTAACGAGGCTGCTCACCTACAATTGACAAGAAGACATCGGATTACTAAATAGTGCAATTTATGCTTATCAGGGACAATCTGTTTGGGCTTGGGGTCATTCATAATTATCAGCATTGCCACAAGTGTACAAACCTCCAATGTATGCTTTTCAAAATGTTAAGCTACAGGCCCATCATTATAACTGAGATTCAAAATTTATGAATATGCTTTGGGGGGAGGGTTAAAAAAGAGCACTCTCTGTACACTTGTGAAAATGTTGATAATGATAGGGGGACAGTACTGGATATTGTCCAGTACTGGACAACCCCTTAACATGTAAATACTAACCAGGTTTTAAAGTTCCTTCAGCTTGGAGTCGTATTTTCACCAAGTCTGTTGGACTTGCAATGGCACTACCAATTGCCCCTGACGAAGCCCCTGCAGCAATCTTTTTCCACAATGGTGTCTTTGCTGGATTGTGAGCACCCAGCAATTCTTTGAATGGTTCGTATGCCCCAAGGCGTATCGTACTGTACGATGCTTCTCTCAAAATTGAGGCTGCAATACTACACAAATATATTTCTCATAAGAACCATAAATTTGATCAAGAATACCATAAATCCTGAAAATTTGTACTTATAGTGATTGACCATCACTGTGTTAGATGACAAAATCTCAACAGTCAGGGTTTTATAGAATCAGAAATACAGATAGTTCTACCGATTCCAATTGTCTACCAATACGGCAAACATCGGCATGGGGGGGGGGGAGGACATTGAAAGTATGTGTGTATGGCTGGGGGGGGGGTGCTATCTCTTTTCACTGAGAGCTGTATACCCCCACCTAAAATCCCTTATTAAATATCTTACATCATTATTCCTTACCCTTTATACAATCCCCTTATTCCTTCTTCTTTAAATATTCTCAGACCTCCATGGAAAAATCCATTGTAATATCGACTAGGCTTTGTGTAACCATATTGCGTAGTTACCAACTCGTTGTCCAGCTGAAGACGGACTTTGGTTACATCAATAGGATTTGTCACTGAAATATGGGTTTAATAGGTTGAAGTTAAGGCCCATCTACATGACACTTATCCTGGCATATGTACTCGAGTAATAATGTCACATTTCAAATTTTGCCATAAACTGACAGACAGGAAGCACAAGTCGTTTTTGTACACCAGAATGTCTAGTATTGTATCGTGTAAATGGGCCTTTACCACTACTCATTGTCAAATCGTCAATCATTTGTCATCGAGACACCAAAAAATGCCAACTAAATTACTTATTCAAATTGACTAGGGGACATCACGTATTTCATCAGATAAATGGGAATAAATTGTCTGAAACAATTGCCAATTACAATGTTTAGCATACCAATACCTGCCAAACCACATACAAAACCAAATTATATACTGTAAAACAAATCATATAAAGTACGAGACTTTTATTTAGTTTTCTGGTTTAAAAATTATGATACATAAGGCATTATAGATGTTATTATCGGCAGTACTACTGTAAAAAAGTTGGTAGTAATTAATTAACTTATAAAAATTGATGTGACAATATGTGATATATGTGCATATCAATTTATAAACAGTCACGCACACTCGCAAACATTCCTTTTTATATTACAGCAACCTTTTCCTTAAACTATCATGTGCCTTGTTTTAGTAGTTTCGCTACTTTATTTGATAGTATATAAAAGTATATACTAATAAAGTATTTAATATTGGTGACAAGTTGATTGTACTGTGCGCTTCGCCATACTGAAAATCGTGCTTGCTTACCGCACACTGCTGTGATTGTAGAAGTCCCAGAGAGTAGAAACTTTGTCAGTATTTCATTAGGTCTTTTTGTTTCCATAATAAAAACTTGAGCCATAATAACGGTATAAATGCTCTCATTTTGTCGTGTGTACCACAAGCATGGCTAACAAAGTTCATTCAACCGGTCCGAACAGGGGACCCTATTTTTTGTTTATGTACGTAATGCAACCAGAATGCAGCTTTTCACCAAAAACGACGCCATCTTTAATTCGCAATGCATTGTGGTCTGTCTATGGATTATTCATAAAGTGATAACTGATATAAACAGTGGGTTTATTTATATTGATGTGTGAACATTGCCAATAAAATGTAAGTATATATATTGGTCTTATTTAAATGAAGCCATTAAAGATACCATTAACTGATTGTTTGTAGAAAAACAACATTGATGGAAATTGTGTATTATTTTCACATCAATGATTTGAATGGTTTTCCTGTAATGGCAATACATTTTGAATAGAATAAACAAATATTGATTACACTAAGCAAACATTAATATGGATTATAGTTAACTAAGCTTATATATTTTTCCACATCAATGTTATTGAATTTGCAAATGGAATTATCAATATACCATTATAGAAATTAATTTTTCCATTCATGGGTTTTTAATTTTTTATCCTTGTGATATCAGCCCTTGTTTCTATTCATTGGCCACCAAATACAGAATGGGCCAGTATCAGTATAACATGAACATGCTTTTCTCACATTTGCTATTAATTTTCCACCATCTGCGTTGGTTTTAAAAACCAACCATTGAGTGAAACAGGAAGTTTGACTAGATACATTTTTGGAACAATCGGTATGTAGAGTACAGGCTACAGCTCTTATATTGACTAAGGGAGTGGTCATTATTTATGGGGAGGGGGTTGGGGGTTGGGAAATGGGGAAAATAAGGATTGAAAACCCCGCAGATTTGACCCCCCCCCAGACTGAAGGCAAACTTTTTGTGCCTCCCCCCTCATAAAAGTAGAAACTTTTCTGACCCCCCCCCCCAAGTGTAGATTGAAAAATTAACAGCAATGTAACAGGTGTGCATTGCAGGTAAAGTTAGATATTAGGACAATCTGTTCAATCTAGCTCATGATGTTTTACCCTGGGGCCGTTTGTTCAAAGGTGGGTTAGCGCTAAACCTGGGTTAAAAGTTTAACCTGCTGTTTTAGTTTGTGTATTTCTGCACGTCTGTTTATTTCAAAACTTCAGACAAGTAAACTCCTATCCATCCAGACAAGATCTCTGAAGAAATATTTCCAAATTTATAGACAAGCTGTCAGGAAGTTTGCTTTGAATTTTAGGTTAACCTAGGGTTAAGCTAACCCAGCTTTGAACAACCGGCTCCTGGTGAATATGATTCAACCATATATGGTTAAAAAATATATATTATGTGTTACACTTTGCAATGCAACATTTGTCCTACCATAACCCTAACCCATGACCCATCTTCATACAGCGAAATGAGATTTTAAGAACTTGTCTGGAGGGTGGGCATCTACAAAAAGGGACCATACTATATGGAGTGTGTAGAGACGACAGATGGTTGTTGGTGACAAAAAGT